TTTATTGACAGGAAATGATCTGTAATTGGATCACCAATCAGACGCAGTTTTTTTTTGTCTGAAAATTTTGTACATAAAAGCTGGAACACTAAGTTTTACAAGGAGTAGTTTATAGTCGAAAAGTCAAGAAACACATCTTCCTCTCCGATACCAGATTCTCTCCAGTCGGCTCATTGAAGAAAATCCCAGACACTGAACCAAATATTCAAATTGCGATAATCACATGCTGATTAACCTGTTGTGCCGACAAGACTTCTCAGCATGTCTTTTGTCTCAGCCACTTGGCCACATTAACCCCTACTGGAAAGAATTGTCATCTTTCAATAACCAACTGGCAGATATTAATATTTTCTGTTTTTTGTTTTGTTTTGTTTCACAATCGTCTTACAATAAATATTTTTTGTTATTTGTTATCAGATAATTGGTTAATTGTTTAAATTGCTGACTCTTCAAGCAACTCGTACCGACTATCCTGACTGCCAGAAGATGTTCCAGCCTAATTGTATCATTTCTCTTCTGCGGATCTTTCAAACTCAACTGGGAGCAGAAGGAACATCATGGAACTAAGACCACACCAAGTGCCGTGACTAGCATAGGACCATATATGAAACATTTATTGTTTATTTAAAGGCGGAAAATATTTTTTAGATTTTAAGCATAACAATGATTTATTGATATAAGTCCTACTAATTAGCCCCTAGTCATACCTTTTCCAAGAGTATTTTCACGTAATATAACGAACGTCAGTGGGATTAGAACTCGGCTCTACAACTTTGATTTCCTTTATTCATTACACTATCCGCAGATCCAAGCTTAAAATACATCTCATACATTTACATTATTCGGACTATTGTCCTCATCTTTGTCGCCATATTTATTACAAAGTTTCGGCCGTTGTATGCTCCGGCTTTTTCAGGTGGCTGGAATGTCGAACTGAACATTTTATTTCGCTCACTGGAGTAGACTGTTTTAGTTTCACGGGCCATATTTAATGGATATCAGTTATCAGTTATCTCCTGTTAAACGTGGCAAGTAAAACTAAAACAGCCTGAGCCGAATGAGCAAAATTTCGACATTCAACCACTGAATAAAGCCGAGCGTACAACCGAACATTTCTTCTTAAATATGGCGATAAAATGAGGACAATAGAACAAATAATAAATAGTATACATAATACCTCATCTCAAAAATACAGACAGATACTGAAAGGCCGAAACGTTGTAATAAATATGGCAACAAAGATGAGGACAACAGTCCAAATAATGTAAATAGTGTACAAAATACCTCATCTCAAAAATATAGACAGATACTGAAAGGCCGAAACGTTATAATAAATAGGGCAACAAAGATGAGGATAGTCCAAATAATGTAAATAGTGTACATATTAAACACAATCATATCGTTCAGATATTTGTGAAAGAATAGCAAAGCGAAATTGTAATTTTTCCCTTCATAAGAGATGAACGAGGAACACAGCAAGATGTCGAATATAATTGAGGAAATATTTACCAATTATCACTTCTGTAACAAATTAGTCTCATTAGAAAAACAAGGTCTAATAATTCAAGTCAAATGTATGTTCCTAATTCTGGCATTTGTCTGCTAAGACATTAGGAACGATTCACTTAGTATTACGCTTTCATTTTCTTCGCTTTCAAATATCTGGAAATTATTGAATAATTTAAACGATAGCACGTAAAATGATCAAATATGTGATGTAAAGCATTTCAGAAATACAAACAAAAATTACATATATATATATATATATATATATATATATATATTGTCACTTACCTGATTGATGTTATCTTCAGCATTCCAACTCCAGAGTTTTGTAGACGGACCTGTCCATCCACTCTTCAGTGGGTATCACCAATTTACTGCTTATATTATTTTAGAGTTTTTCCGTTTTTATATATGTGTCCTTAGTGTAATTTTTCAGTTTGTTTTTGTTCGTTTGTGCCTTTGTGTGCGTGCATCTATAAGCCCATCTCTACGGGTGTGTGTACCTTGGCCATAGAGGTCGTGATCATTTGAACTTTTAATTAGTTTTCACTTTACACTTATTCTTTAGTATTTTTCTTTTTTCTTCTTTCCTTTCGACCGTTGGTGTTTTTGTAGCGAGTTGTTTCAATCTCATGCCACCGATTTTAATTTTAGGGCGTTCTAGTGGGTAGCTATGATGGTCGTTTCTAGGGATTTTGTGTTTCATTTTTATATAAATAATTGATATTAATTATTTAAATGATAAGTATTTGATATATATATATATATATATATATATATATATATATATATATATATATATATATATATGAAGAAAAAATTATATGGAAAAAACAAACAAAAATCCTAATATGCAATTATGCTGTTTTAATATAATGTTAATATAATGTCAACGTCGGACGTTTCGGTCTAATAGACCATCTTCAGGACATATTCATAAAACATAATTAACATAGACCATACTCAATTCAACATGAAAAAGACGATATATATATATTTGTGTATACGAATTAAAGTAAGCTTATATCATATGCTATCTTTCATTTAATGTTTCCCTTTTATTTAATTATTAGTAGTTTATTTTTTATCTTGCTGTTATATATTGATGTATTAATTATGAGAGGTTAGGTTTGTTTGTTTTTGGTGCTTGTGCGAGTATATATATATTTATATGTACTTGCACACACACGCGTATAGGTGATTATGTTTAATATTTTTTATATTTATTTATTAATAAATTAAGTTTATATTATATTTGTTACATTTATTTATTTATTTAAAGCTTATATTATATTAAAGAGTTTATTTTGGTTTTTGAAACGAATTATTGCTTATTATATTTTTATCATTTCTTGTTTTGTTTTTGTATTTCTGCCAATGCAGTTTCCTATGCTTAATATACCATCGTCCCTGTATTGACCTATATCATTTTGTTAATGATATTTGTTCATTTATTCATTCTGTATATGGCCATTAGCAACGACCATCATAGCTACCCACTACTACGTTAAAGGTATTATTATTATTATAATTATTGTTATTATTATGGCTTTTTATTGTGGTATAATATTGATTTCCGGTAGTGTTTAACTATATTTATATCTTCATTGGGGATAACCATGTATTGTTTTGCTAAGTTTAGTGCGTTGTTTAATGTATTCTCATTAATAAATAGATAGAAGTCTTTTCTGTGCAGTTAGATGAAAGAACAGTTTTTTTCATGTCTAATGTTATTAAACCAATTGATTTTTGCTTTTGTATTTTCCCATTGGCTTATGTTTAGTATGTTTCTTAGTTTTAAGCATATTTTTCTGATACGTGTTTATTTTCCAATGTTGCTTTTTGTAGGGGTTTAGTGATCTGCATGGTCTTGGTCGTGAAATTGTATTTATGATCTTTTAATTTAATAAATGGTTCTACTTTTACTGATTGTTTTATTCTATTGCCTAATTTTATTTTAGTGGTTATGTTCTTAAAGTTTTAGCTTTTTGTCTTTTGATTAGTGGTTTTGTAAAATTTAGTTACTTCTTTAACAGTTAGTTCATTGTAATTATTGGTTTCCATTTTATAAATTATCCTGGATTTATCTGATTTTATAAATACTTATTTTGAGGCCAAATCAGGAGAATAGGGAGGGAGATCAACAAATTGAAAGACAGTCATACACAGCAGCCATTGAAATCAAGGACGTGTGTTGGTTTCTTGTCATGATGAAACAAGTCTCCTTTCGTCAGTTTTCCTGGCCTTTTCATCTTGACATCATTTGGTTACTGCTTCAGCCATTTGGCATAATGCACTTCATTGAAAGTGTAGCTCTTTTGTGACCAATTAATAGGCACAATACCTTCTGTATCCCAAAAAAGCAGAGGCCATGTCCTTCCCTGCAGATTTAACTACTTTGGAGCAGGTGAGGAGGTGTATATCCACTGCATAGTCTCTTTGTCTCTGACTTAAAGTACTGAACCCGACACTAATCCTCAGTTAGGAAACATTCAGGGAAAACAGCTGGATTTGTCATATTTCTTCATGATGTGATTAGACTGGTGCGATTTGGATCAGGTGTCAAAATACATGGCAGAATAATTCGTCATGCAGATTATTCTCGACTCTCACGGTATAGGCCAAAAGCCTCGGCTATTGATTTATAGTCAATCGTCTGTCATCCATCACTATGTGGTGAACATAATCAATATTTTCCTCAATGATGGCTGTTTCAGGAAGTCCAGACCTTGAGTCTATCTAAATCCTAAATTCAACTGCCCACCTTTGCACTGTTGATAAAGCTGGGGGGGTCAACACAAATTTAGCAACCATGTCAACATGGAGGTCCTTGTGGGGAGAACCGTTTTTTCTGCAGGTTTTGGCTCGATCTAGGTGACACCTCCGGTGGGTAACTAGGCCTAGCATAGATAAGCAGACTTCTCCCTACTGATCAAATGGGTACTGATTAAGCGCAGGATTTGCTAATTCCCACTTTCTCTCAGCTCGTTTATCTGTGCCCATTCTACTGTCCCTTGTGGAACCACCACAAACAGTCCTCATTCAGTTATCCTTATCACAAGCAGCTCTCTCCTCTCATCCTCTGTAATGGAGCAGTCACTCAGAAAGTCCTTTACAAAATCCTTGAATTTTTTGATAGGTTTCTGCATCGAGCTATCTCGCCGTAAATGACCTGCTTGGAAATTCGGGAATCCTCTAAACGAATAACATAACCTCTCTATCAAAGCCTGAGAAGATGAGTTAGGGCCTCAAACCAGACAGACGATACTTTTTCAAGGATGCTTGTGTCAGGTGTATGAAACAATATATGCCGAGGATGCATTTCAGACAGTGCGGTTGGAAGCGTCCGAGTGTAACAAGGTGTCTTCTGTATGTGACCCATGATCCGCAAGAATACAGGAAGAAATTAAGAATACATTCGTTTATAAACTGATACTCTGGTTCCATACCCGATCTCTGCGAGCAGTGAGGGCCTCAGTATCCTTCTGTACCCGATGTGTTATTTCATTGTCGAGGGTACATGGCCTGTTGATGGTACTGCCCAGTTAGGTGAACTTTTCCAAAATCTGCAACCTCTGGGAGTACACATATATTGAATGTTCTATATATATCAACATCTGCATTTCCTCTTCATTATGAGGTACCAAATCAGAATCATCAGCGTACAGGAGGTCCCTAACCCATGCTTCATGTCGAAGAGTAGTCTCACAGAAATGCGATTTCGAATATGGATTCCGTGCGTACAATATGAGAAGGGTTTAAATAAACCCAAAGGTGGCGCTACTTGTTCACACACTTTCACATTGTAATCACCTTAATCGCCTCTGAAAGTAGACCACCAGTGTTAACTAATAACTTTATCTCGTTGTGAAAATACTGAAGAACCTTTAAAAGTTGTCTGGCCAACCAAGTCGACGCGGGATTTCCGAGAGACTTGGGAGAGACCTTGTCGTTGTTCATCCGACATTTCGTGCAGCTGGCGAACGGCGAACACCGTATCTATCGTGCCTCTATTAGGTTCGAATCCACATGGGGATACTGGAAAAATATTGTCCCAGATTGATGTGTTTAGCCGTAAGATTACGATACCTAGAAGGGTCTTACCGGCAGAAGACAGCAGAGGAAAACCACGGAAATCAGCACACAATTCGTTTGCACCCTTTTCCATTATACAAGGGAATGAGAACACCATCTCTATAATCCTTTAGGGCTGCATCTTCGTACTAAATGTTAATAATAATTTGATGCATGTTTTGAACAATGTGGTTTTCCCCGTAACAAAAAAAAAAAACTTTCGAATACAGTCCGTACATACCGATTCCTTACCAACGTTCAACATAGAGCTGGATAATCGACATCCTCCAGTGAGGAGGCATTATTCATTGCTTCAACCACAATACATTGTCACAGAATATCAAGGGCATTTCGATCTACTTGGCTGTGTCTATTCAGTAATTCCGAGAGATGCTTTTTTCAGAATTTAGAGATGTCAGTCACGATAGTAAGCAGTTCATTTCCATTTTAGATATCAATGCTGTAACTCTTACCGCATGAGGACCAAATGCCTTCTTCATAAGAGTATAGAACTTTGCTGCTCTTACTCTCTGTGGCTGCTTGCATTTCCGTAGCTATGTTCGACCACCAATTATCTTTCATTTTTGGTAATGTGCGTTGCGCACGAGATTTGTCTTCCTTGAAATGTTGGGTGAATTGTTGCTCTAAAGAATGGTGTTTATGGATAAGTTTTTTTCCCCGTATTTTGTTCTTTTTCGTTAATATACCTCTAATTGTATTGTCATTTTCTTCAAAGTACTCATGGGGTTTGGCTGACGCAAGGTCAATTACCACTTTTGTGACAGAATATATCTGCTCGTGTATCAAAAGGTTGAGATGGCAGTGGCTGAAAAGCGAGCTTGAAAAGCTTTCTGTGTTACTGGATCGTGTAATTTGGCAACATTAAAAAGCTTTGTCAATTTTGCAATTTTTCTGTTTCTAGCAGAAGGTTTTATTAACAACCGCATTTTTGATCTCATGAGAGCGTGGTCAGTCTAGCAATCTGCACCTATAAAAGATTTTACTTTGCATGCATGTTGCATATCCCTTTTCCTTTTTTCTATAAGATGCCACAGTCGAGAACTTGGAAGCATCCAGGTTGTAGTGTATTCACCCTTGTCAGGAAACTGTGTACTTGAAATATGCTCGTTAAATTCCGTGCATAGTTAGATGTGTTGCCTATTTTAAATCATTTTATCAACTCAGTAACTATTCAGATATTTCCATATCTCTCAGTCGTAGCCGACCCTGGCGTTAAAATCGCATGGCAAGATGATTTATTAAAAAAAAAAAATGAAAAAATCGTAGTTCCTCAAGGAAGGCTAACTTATCTGCCTCTTCAGCGGGAATTGTTGATGCATAAGCACTAATAATGGTGGCATATTGATCTCCATGAAAGTGCAGGCTCAGGGTCATCATCCTGTCGCTGATATAAGGAATTTCAGCCAGGTTAGATATCAAATTGTTGCGAATCATCAAACCTAACACATGCCTTCCTTCGGTTACTCACCTTTCTACCCCTCCAGAAAAAAACGTGATAACTTTTGACAGTTTATATATATATAGTTTATAATAAACAGTATTAAATAACATTTACCGGCCTGAATGACCGAGAAATTTTCATATGTCAAAAAGAATGTTAAACATAAAAATGTCTTTAATAAATTGTCGGACTTTGTCCAATTCTTGATGTATGACGTCATTTGTTTACATTTGATACGCCATGAGCAGTTATGAATGTACGAGATTCATGGAAGATTGAAGTTTATAAGCAGTAAATTCGACCTTGCCTACCGAACGCTCCTTTGTGGCCGAGTCGGTTAAGGCACGTCAGCGTAAATGACGGTTCCGTATAGGATGCAGGTTCGAATCCAGTCAAAGGACGAATATTTTCTATGAAAATTTCTCGGACATTCAGGCCGGTAAATGTTATTTAATACTGTTTATTATAAACAGAGCATTTAAATACTTGTGTCTATAAAAAAAATGTTAAACATAAAAATATATATATATGGAGAGAAACAGAGATTGTCTTAGAAAAATGATGAAAGTACGCGGTATAAATGAATATATATCAACATGGTAACTTTCTCCCTTCCTTTAATAAATTTACTAATAAACTTGTCCGTGAATATGATAAGATCCTATTGAAAATAAGTAGACAAATCTTGTCTAAATTATTCAATGAGACATATATATATATATATACATATCTGTGTATGTGTGTGTGTATATATATATATATATATATATATATATATATATATATATGCTAAATGTGTTCTATTAATTAGAATGGAGAGGAAACATCTGTTAAGGCTTTTGGTAATTTTATTCTTGTGTTGCATTAGTCATTTAATATACTTTAGGTGCGTTAATATTTAGCGATAGCTGAACATTTGAGTAAAACATTGCGGGATTCCCGCACGTAAAACCTGGATATATTTTTAAGGCTGGGTAGACTTAATTCCGGGTATCATTTGAAAGTCTTGGAGTCAATTTACATAAATCCTACAAGCCATCTCTCTGTAAACTGACGGAGTGTTTGAAGTGCTTAAATGTGAATAGCCTTTAGTATTATTTTTTTTTGCTTACATATAATTGTCCGCGGTTGATCACATTTTGTGACATGCAGGCGATAAATTCATACAGCCAATGGTGGTGGCTACAGCATAAAAAACAAACAAAAACCTACAAATCTTTTGTTGGTGGAAACCTGTTCCATCCAGCGGTATTAACGAACTTCTGGCATATTTTGTTGTTTCCCTTCAAATTTTGTGCTAATTTGTGGCATTAACTTTTCTCACGTGCCTTTTGGAAAAATAGTAGTTCGTATATTCACTCTTACAAGCTTTAATTAAAATAGCAGTGTAGATTGAGATGGCTACCATTGATAAAGAAAACTCTGAATTCAAAATCTTAAAGTATATAGCAGGAAATTACGCAGATACATGGAATTTAATAAAAACGTAATTGATTCATCAGAATTCACTGATTCTATGTAGCGTCAATGGTTAATTTCGGATAGATACTTTATTTATATACATTTTGCATGAAATTCCTTGATTTCCGATTCTAATTTCGTTCTGTCGTTTCATCCTACTCTCTTTGACAGGCAGAAGGAATCAGCTCTGCAAACAAAATGACATTTTCCTCCAAGATTGATAATATATTTTCTCTGTGCGCAACAAGATTTCATCAGTTCTGTATCCAGACCAAATCCGATAAATAATTCACTACATTACACTTTACTCAGTATCGACTTCCAGGCTTGGATATATTCCGCTTTTTGTGCTCGCCTATTAAGTAGTTTTATCTTATAGATAGATAATTTAGAGATTATTTCTTTCTAAACTCAACGATATAAGATTCATTTCACTTAATATTTTGTTTTCGTTCTCTCTTATTTGTAATTCCGAAAATTTCTATTCTTATTTCACCTTTCAAAGAAGAGAAGGCGACTTTTTCATTATTTCCATTATTCGGACTCTTGTCCTCATATTTGTCGCCATATTTATTACAACGTTTTGATCGTTGTACGCTCCGGCCTTCTTCTGGTGGTTGGAATGTCGAACTGAACTCTTTATTTCGCTCACTGGGGTAACTGTTCTAGCTCCATGTGCCATGTATAATAGATGTCAGTTATCAGTTATCACCTGTTAATTTCCCTACTGCCTTAATCGGGTATTGAACTCACACTATTTGGGTCCTGTCACTGGATCTAATCAACGCCTTTATCCACTGTGTCATGTGTGTATGACTTTCTGGATATTATAAAACTAATGTCTTCAGCAACCATTTTTACCAGAGCTCATATTGCAACTTTTGTTGTTATTATCGTTTTCTCTGGCCCATCTTATTACTGGTTCCCATATTGTACTCATTTCTATGCTTGGTCGACTCAGGGATTTTTGTAGGCTAGCATATGTGCTGATTCCTTAAGTTTACAAATTTCCCAATGGTGTTCCTTGTCTATGATCCCAAACTGATCCCACAGAGGGCGGTAATCTCCCTTCTCTCTCCATATGTGGTCAGCCATGCCTGATTTTTTCACTTCCCCTCGTGTTACAGCCTTTTGGTGTTCTTGAAGCCTTACCTTTCGGGGTCGGCCTGTCTCTCCTTTATATTTCTTCCCGCAGCCTCACGGGAAACGTACATACAGTCTATAGTCATGTTCTCCTCTATGGGGCGGGGTCTTACCTGGAGTGATATCTGCGAAGTGTCGTTAAGCTTTTGAAGGTTGTCCTGATGCTATATTGACCGCAGATCCTTTGTATTTTCTCTGATAACCCCTGTTTTCTGAGTGTTTTTGTCCTCCTCCTCCTGTACCCGCCTATCCCAGATTTTGGGAGCTGCTGCCATGTACCGAGGGTAATTATTACGTTGTAGGGTACTACATATACTGACCAATTCTTTATCTAATGTCTCTGGGTTACCACTTATGACTTTTGCTTGGTGTTGTAAGCAGCGGACGATCCCTTTCTTTAAGCTGTATGGATAGTCGGAGTTCAAATTGATGTACTTTCCGGTGAATATCGGTTTACGGTATACGGATGTCTTGAACCCATGCTCTGTTCGAGATATTAGTTCATTCAGGAATGGGAGTGTGTTGTTACTCTCTTAGGTCTTATTGAGTTCACATGGCCCAGTAGAACCTGAACATCTTCCTGGTGTGGCCAGATTATGAAGGTGTCATCTACGTACCTTAACCATATAGTTGGCTTTAGAGATATAGATTCTAATGCCATTTCCTTAAAGTATTCCATGTATATATTCGCCATTGCTGGTGGTAATGGCGAGCCCGTTGCTAAGCCCTCATTCTGTCGATATATATCTAATCCCATTCCGAAGTGTGTTGTTTGTGTACAGAAAGTCAACATCTCCATCAGATTATCTATTGGAATACTGGTCCGTTCTTCTAGGGAAGAGTCAGAAGCCAATCTGTCTCTGACTACTGAGAGTACCTCCTCCGTGGTACCTTGGTGAAAAAAACTCACCGCGTCCAAGCTCACCATCTGGTTGGATAGCATTGGAACATCTTTGATTATTTCCACGAAGTGGGTGGAGTTTCGGACATGAAGGAGACTTTCCGATCAATGGGTCAATTATATCTACAAGCAAGCGACTCAGAGAGTGGCACACAGAGCCTTCGCAACTAACAATCGGCCTGAGCGGAATACCGTCTTTGTGAATCTTTGGGAGACCGTATATGTGAGGTATCTTGCTGTAACGCTGCAATAACTGCCTATACGTCTTAGGTGCGAAGTGATCCTTGTTTCTGACTAGTATCTGTGACAGTTTGCGTTCCGTTTTTATTGTAGGATCCTTTTTTACTTTGCTGTAACTACCGTTGCTAATGAGGTCTTCCAGCTTTGTCCATCACTACAGTGGCATTGCCTTTGTCAGCCGTTAGTATGATGTAGGGATCCGATCGCCAGCCTCTCCTGTTTTGTTATGTTAGACCTAGGCGGCTTGGCCTTCTCAAAGGTCTGTCTCACCTTCCATCTCAGTTCATCCGCCTGAGCCTGAGGGATGTTCAAGGCCACCTGCTTGACTCTGGCAATGATGTCCAAGTATGGCACTCACCTGATAGTTGTGGCGAAGTTGAGACCCTTATTCAATACTGACTCCTCTAAGTCACTGAGCTGATATTGGCTGATATTGACTATTGCTTTCACTGGTGGGTGATGGACCTCGTGCGTCACCTTCTGATCTTTCAATCTATTTAATTATTGTACTTGGCGAGCCTTGACTACATCGAATTCATGTCTAAGGATTTATCCAGGTCATTTTGGATCTTTCTCTGGTATTCTTCATTAGTAATTATGTTGAAAAAATCCTCGAGCCTCTGGGAGATATGAGCTTGTAGTCTCTGTTTTATCCAACGATTGTACTGGATTCTCTCTTGGACAAGGGCGTGTCTCGCTTTCTCTAACATCAGACGGGCTCTCATTGACGGGAAGTCTTGGTGGCAAGCCTGAAGGGATGAATTTTAGGTCTCTGCATCGGTGTAGGAATGTCGGAAGAAGGCTGGAGACTAGACCGGCTGAAACGTTGTAAGAAATATGGCGACAAAGATGAGGACAAGTGTCCGATTAATGTAAATAATGTACATAATACCTCATCACAGAAATATAGGCATAAACTTTATTTTTTCTAGCCGTTTTTTTATTTTTCCTACATTTCCCAAATACTTTGTCATTTTTTCTTCTTTTTTACTTGTTATTTATACTCTCGTTCTTCGTTTTCTTATCGTTATAGTTTTTTCTTCTTCTTTGTTCTTCCTTGGTATATATCTTTCTTTTTTTGGTTCTCCTTTCTCTCTGCCTTCCTTGTTATTTTTATGTTTGTTTGTTTACTTATGCATTTCTACTTTTACTTTCACTTTCCCCGCACCTATGCTGATATCTTTCTTTCTTCTTTTTTTTTTCTCAATACATTTGTATCTTTTCTCTATTTTTCAACATTCAATTTCTTTTTAATCTTTACATTATTCATATTCAATTCGTTTTCTTGTTTTTAAAATTGTTTGGATTTTCCTTCAGTTAATTTACATTTACGTTCCCTTTTCAATTTTCTAAATTCTTTTTTCGACGTCTCTTGTTTTATAATCGATATATTTCTTCAATTCTAGTACAATTTTTGTGAAGTCAGTTTTTTATTTTTTTATTTCCCTTCTTTAACTTTGTTGTTGTTTTCTTCTCTGTTTTTCCTTTTTTTCTTCTATATTTGTCTTTTTTTTCAGTTTCCTTCTTTTAAATTTTTTCATTTTTAGCTCTCTCCTTCTATTTCTCTTGTGTTGTTTTTCCTTTCTTCTTTTGCGTATTTCCTTTTCATGCTTCCTAATTTCTTTCTTTTTAATTTTTCCTTGTTTTCTTATGACTTTTTTACTCTTTTTATTTTTCCACTTTCTTCACTTCTTTTCCTCTTTCTTTCTTTTCCTTTTTCCTTCTTTTCCACCCTCTTATTTTTCTCTTTATTTTCCTCTTTCCTTCTGTTTTTCTTTCTTTTCCTCCATCTTTCTTTTACTCTTTCCTTCTTTTCCTCTTCCTTCTTTATTTTCCTCTTTCCCTCTTTTCCTCCTTTATTTTCCTCTTTGTTAATTTTCCTTTTTCTTTCTTTTCCTCTTTCCTTATGTTCATCTTTCATTCTTTTCCTCTTTCCTTATTTTCCCCCTTCCTTATTTTCCTATTGTTTATTCATTGTTTCCAGTCTCCGCATTTTCTTTAATGAAATCGGTCTTTTTTCAACTTCTTTGTTCCTTTGTCGTTTCCGTTCGGAATAAAAAATATTTAATTGAAGAAAACTTACAAACTGAATAAACATTTGCATTTATATTCTATTTGTCACATAAAAGCTGATCTGTTCCAAAGGTGTTGCAAATTTTTCAATCATTCATAACGATCTTTGTTTGATTTTTATCCAAAATGTCGAAGTTTCACGGATTTCTACTGAAACTGCATGACCCAACAATAGATTATTGGATCATGGTAATGACTGGAATTACAGTTCAGATTTGCTTCCACAAATTTCAATATGGATGATGGAGACCAAAAGATTATGGAAGAAATCTATACTTCTGCTAATAACGCTATAAAATTTTTCAAGAGCTTTTTTTCAAGTTCAAATCATGATGCTTATAGGCAAGTACATCTATCTCTACTAATAATCTTTTCGTATTATATTTCATGTTACAGTATAAAATGTCTCAGTTTAAAATACATTATCGACGATGAAACTTGCCTAAAACTCAAGCTCAGGCATTGAAATCTGCTGATTTGAAACCTGTAACCAAATAATTGTTGAACAACTTTGAATACTGGATTAAGACAACCCGATTACCTCTCTTGTCTTATAATTTGTATATATGTCACGACGTCTTAGCCCAAATGGCAAGACTCTTCATTTACGTTCAATAAAGGCACATTAAGCCGAACTAGAGAACGATTTTTCATTAGAATTTATTGAACTTAATTATAGACTGATACCTTAAACCAGAACATCTCGACTTTTACTCTGCAGATTTGACTTTTACTGACGCCTGAAAATATTGGAAACGGTTATTCGAATGATTCTTGCTTCTACTGGAAAACATGTCATCCATTTCTATTGCTGATATGAATAGACTTAACCCGCCAATGTACCATGATTCCATATCCTTATATATCAATATTTCTCACTTCAAAACTTACCAGAGTGCCATGGCCGTTTTTGATGGAATTTTTGTGAAGAGACAAAACATAATCTTTGCCTGGCATGTATCAACAATAACCCGCCAATCCTTTGAATAGGGGTTAGAACAATATCTTCAGTGCTTACAAATCTTAAGTCGAGATCAACCGAATGATGAATGTATCAGAGACTCATCTATAAATGGATTAGAATCGAGCTATACCCGTCAAAAATTACTGGAAAATAAGCAACTAGATTTAGCTACTGCTTGCGAGCAGGCACATACATTGGAGATGGCAGGAAAACAATGTTGTTCATATCTACAAACAAGTGCTGCAGAGGCTACTATTCCACTAATCCAAACGACCCAAACAGTGAAAAAAGACAGTCCTCTACGACAGACGTCTTCGTTTCTGCCCCCACATCCGCCATTTCAAAATCTTCTATCTTCGAAAGACACTGCATACACTGCTAGTGCTGAAGCCAGACAAAAATGTTATGTTTCAAACTACACCCTGGGTCTTGTTGCCCAGCTATGGAAACTAAATGCCACAAGTGCAGGAAAAAAAGGATATTTATCTAAGGTTTGTCAACCAAGCATTTTTATCTGGTTAGAATGCACCTATTACGACTAGTATAGTATCAACTGCAATCCTTAAATGTCTTTTCAAAGGCTATATTAATAATAGTAAAAATAAACTACAGATAAAAGAAATGAATGCTCTAGTCGATACAGGAAGCTTAGAGAGTTTTATAAGGGCTGATATTGCAAAAAGAAACAGATTTAAATCGTACATTGTCTAAGTCAGGTGACTATGGCGAAGTTTTGATTTCCTTCACACGTTAGATGATATATTTTGGACGGCCTGAAGTTGAATCAAACTAACTACACTAACACCAAATTTTTCGTGATGACAAATATTCTCGATAAAATAATTCATGAGGAAAACCTCCAAGGCACTTTTGCCTACATAGATTATATGACATTGTACGGCCATGACTGTGCCGTTCAGAATCGTAGCTTAAAACGGTTTTTGGTGGCTTTCAAGAAATATAATCTTACGCTCAATCACGACAAGTGTTTCTTATGGGTCGACAAGCATCGGATTCCTTGGATATATTGTGGGTAAAAGAATCATGAAGCCGACCACAGAACGGCTAAAACCACTGCTAAAACTACTTATTCCCTACATCATTGCCGCTTTTCGACGAATTGTGGGGTATATTCGCTTATTATCCACAACGGATACCCTCCTTTTTTGAAAAAATACACCCACTTATGAAAATTATAAAATTACTTCTTCTGCTGTTAAAGCCTTTGAGGTGCTAAAATAGATTTTGCCAGCTCAGCTATCACTTCAGTGAATCGTGATATTCTCCTAGAAGTAGAGACCGACGCTTTTGACCATGCCATAGATGCCGCGTTAAGGCAATCCGGGCGCCCTGCAGCGTTATTTTCCAGAATATTGTCAAACTCTGAGCGCAGACATTCAGCTGTCGAAAAAGGAGGCTTATGCCATTGTCAAGGCGCTAAAAATGGCGATATTATTCAATTGGTCACTGCTTTAAATAAATAACTGACCAAATGTCAGTCTCTTTATGTTTAATCACAAGAGGTCAAGCAAAATAAAACAAAATGAAAATATAGCGAAATATAGGGTAGAGCTTTTCTGTTTTTCGTTTGACGTTTTCTATCGGGAAAAGAAAATGAAACGGCTGGCGCGTTGTCAAGTGTCTGTGAATCAATAAACAGCAAGAAAGATTTACAAAAATATTCATAACTATCTCAGACAACCAGGCATGACGAGGATGATACATGTGGCCCAAAGCTGGAGTTTGCATTTTTCAGTTGATGGCATAAAACGAATAACAAACGGTTGGCACATCGGCGCTCCAATAATGTCATGGTTGTACAAACCCGAACTGGGAACCTTAGTTAAAGCTACACAGCCACTTGAGAGGCTGAGCGTGGTCGTTAAAGGCCCACTTCGATCTAAATCCCGAAACAGATATCTACTGTCATTGAAGAGTGTTCGCTATTCAACTGGAAAACCAAAACTTTCTAATTAGACATTGGGAAGACGTAATAGCTGATACTCTGTACACTATAAAAACACTATCTTTTTAATTTTCAAGGCGTAGTTTGGTCAGGTACTACTTAGAAACCATTTTCGACAAAGCAACTATAATTCTCCTGTGAGTAAGGTGGAACTACTCGATGCGAACCCATTCTATGCGCGCAACCAGTACCACGACGGGAGATAATTGAACGTTTCCCTCAGACATTTGGCCCGTGTCGGCGAGTTATCAAACCACAGGGAGGAGCAACTCTGCTCTGAAGTAACATCTCTCTCTCTCTCTTGAAAGTAACAATGTCATTGGATTCTCCTGAGGAACAAGGCCCAGATAGTGACGATCGACACCAGAGTAGCTTCTTCAAAACGAGAGCATACTACTATAGACTCTGATAATCAGGTTTCAGAATCAGGGTGTCCCACTTCAAGATGGTGACAAACACAGTATGAGACAAAATACTTCTATCTGATTGTTCCCGTAACACCTGAAAGCCAAGATCAACCGCCACTGTGACGAAGCTAGATAATTGTTAAGAGGCGAAGTCATCTAGTTTGTGTTGGCCTAGGAAAAAACAAAGCCGTGGAGAATATGGTAAGGCAACTTGATTACCTATCCTATCTTATATTTTGTATAAATAAATCACTTCGTCTCTTTAGTTACGTTCAATAAAAGCATATTAAGCCGAACTAGACTTCGAGATACCATTACAAATACTTAAATGTCGATTATATTTACTGTTATATATATTGCATTCTCGAGAAGTCATGTATTCCAAAACATGTTCAAAATATTTCTTTTCATAGTATTTATGTAGAAAATCTTTTTTTTATTTCTTACTTCCTTTCTTTAGTAGCTGCTTAATCTTTCATTTAAAAAGGTTAAAGTTTAATTTCGACACGAAGAATAGCAATTTCATGAAAGAAATATTAAACCCATCAATAAAACTTTGTTCTAAAAAGAAAATTTTCCTATTGTAAGCATTGTCAACAAAGACTATAATTCATTGTCTAGTACCTCGTGCCAATTATAAGCATTTTTAGCTGTAAAAATTGTGGAACTGGCTTCTTATTCATTCGTATTCTTAATTATTTTTAGTGATTCTGAAAAACTAAAGCTTGAATTAAGTTGGAATACAAAAGAAGGTGGAACTTTCAAATTTTGCTGTTATTTGCGACGTTTCTTTTCTTTTACACTTGCATGGTTTGTACGAGGTAAACATGTTGTCATCTACTTAGATGGTTTCCTGTAAAAATAGGATGAAACAACATGGGCGATGTCTCTATGCCTTCACTTAAAGTAAATAGCATTTTCTGATTAAATCTAATATCGTTGAAATATCAATCCAATTATGGTTACATTACATATATGTAAAATATATTTTATTATGTAAAATTACTAAGAAATATATATATTCAACGGTACACACACACACACACAGAGAGAGAGAGAGAGAGAGAGAGAGAGAGAGAGAGAGAGAGAAACATATGTGCGTGCGTTTCATATGTTCGAAGGCTTCCAGCGTTTAGTTTAATTTACAAATACGCTTTACTTCCGGATATTCAGTTGTTTTATTTTTTGTTAAAATAAGGATACACTTGAGATTTTCCCTTACAACTATACTGATATGGCAGAAAAAATTCGAGAGAGCTGACTGATAACATGAGCAAATTTTCTTCGTTTGAATCAAGGTGGCTATGCGACATTGCTTGAACTCCACGTTGTCTTTGTGTAGCTACAGGGAATGTATTAACATTTGAAACATTTTCCCATGGACGTCTTCGGTCGGGATAGAATCTGATTCATATGCCATCTCTTGCCATACGTGAAAATCAACCAATTTTTTTTCTACAACAAGTTTCATATCGGTCGTGCACAATGGAATGTTCTGGAACAAAGCCTTACCATTTGGATACAAGTGTAAATACTTGCCATCAAGATTTGAGGACATTACACTTGAGAAAAAATTCCAGTTTCATACGGCGTACATGTAAACTGCAGCATAACTTAAACTGTATATATCCAACAATAACCTTGGGC